ATGTAGCTGAGTGTACGCAGTCCAAATTTAAATGTAGACTTTGATAATTGGGCTGGAAAGGGCACTTAGCACCAACTTATCACGCATATTATATTAGGTTTCATTACAAAGACATAAAACATAAAGTCATAAAAACCTCTCAGGGCTGCTGTGGACACCTGTTTAAAGATTTGGGTTTTTTTTTTTTTTTTACAAAACACCTGGTTTTCCTTTGTTTAGTTATATTCCAAACTCTGCAGTATATGAAACACCTGCAGACTTTCCTTTCTATGGACCAACATTAAGTGCAATCCATTTTAATGATCCTTAACTACACACAGCAACAGCACTAGACTGTACCTGTTTTTGCACGGTTGCTATTTCCAGTGATCTTTAAGGAAAGTGAGGTCAAAGATTTTTATTTTCAGCATTTCTTACATCTGCTCGGGCCTCTTGCAGCTCATTGACTCAGTGACTTCAAGCTTTGTGTTCCTTAGCCTTTATCCAAGTGGTATAAATCTCTTCTTCTTTGTGGAGAGACCACTGCATAGCTGTTTTCACCAGTTTTATCCCCAGTAACTGTGAGAACATACAGTATGCCCAGACAGGCAGAAAGATAATAAACTTAGCAAAACCACTTAAGTCCTCATTTTGGAGCTTGTGCAGGAGAAAGCACCCCACTGACACTGTCTCCATTACCTGTTTGAGTGGAGGCAGCTGCATAGGAGGCTGTTAAAGATATGACTGCCCTCATCAGTCTGGTTCGCTCTTGTGGGATGAGTATGGGGGAGAAGGCCAGTGTTACCATTACCTAGAGGGTAATCTAACAAGTATTACTGCTCAGGTGTCCACATGATTTAAGATTCTCTTTTTCTCACAAGCCATATACTGTATGTGCATAGAATCACACCAGACCAGCTGAACACACATACTGTACATACAGGATATGCCACACAGACGTCCTGCTTTATCCTCAGTCCTCATGTTTCTCTGAGAGTTTATATAGTCGTAGGTAAAGCATTAGGGCCTATAACCTGATATAAATGGTGAAGGTGTTTACAGCTACAGAGAGACAAAGTAAATGAAATAGAGGAAACTGAAACCCTGCTGCTGGCAGTGTTACACAGAGTCCTCAAACAAAGGAGTCCTTTTTATCGTTTTATTGTCAGGATGTTGTACAGTTTGACTGTTTGTGTATGTGACAAGGACTTCCCGTGTGTCTCATGATGTGATTACCGCTGTTCTTTATATCATTTCTTAAGGATTATTTGAAAAGTGAAAAGTGAAAGCTGGTAAAGATGATGTTGTATTTTTAATGTAATGTCATAAAGGATTGAACTTAAAGTGAGACTATATAAGTTTTGCTGAACAGTAGCTACCCAGGCCACGCAATCCTGACTACCAGAAATTATGCTACTAAACTTACAAAACGCAGAACTGTAACACTGGAAACCAAAGTTCACAGTCTGCATCCCATGTGCATTTGCTGTTACAAATTAGTCGTATGTAAACATAATTTCTGCAGGAACAGCCAAGAATGACAATTACAGGGTGATGCAAAATGCAAAAAACTTAGTCATGTAATGTTCGTAGTATAGCAAAAAATATCTAACCAAAGTTTGCTAACATTAGCTATCACTAGCCACCATAAGCTGCAAGAAAGGAACAAAACCCCTAAGTGGGCAATCAGACAGAAACCAGCCCTGCGTTGAAACATCATAGGGAGCTGCATTTGTTGGGGCATGTTTTTTAAGGTTGTGGTGAGACAATGAAATATGGAAGTCCAGTTTGAATGACAAATGAATGTGTTTAAAAGCATTACAGACATCAAACTGCACAGCAGGTTTATAATACAGACAGAAAGGAAAGTTATCATGGCATCTGCTATTTTATCGTTCATCGTGCGTGACCACAAGGTAAATAGTAGTGAACAAAGTTAATCAACCAGGAATGTGCGTTTGCATGTATTTGATTGGCCAGTGTATCACCTTGCTGGATAATGCCTTGTTGTGAGGTTCAACCTTTTTGCAGGACGATCCTGTGTTGTTTTTGTTTTTGTTTTTTGTTTTTTTTTTCGCCATAGCCCCCTGTGTGTGGGCATCCCTGCCGCGTTCATGGACTGGCCATGAACTGACTGCTGGCCACTGCTTTGCCTCTCTGGCATCTCATAAACAGATCTTTTTCTTTTTTTTTCTTTTATTTCCTTTCCTTTTTTTTTTTTTTTTTAACAACTCTCTATCTCTGAATCAGCAGTTGTTTATGTAATTCAAACTTGGCTGATGTATCCTGATTTAAACGGTGTGCAAATTATAATCTCACACTGTCTCAGTCTCTCCCTTTCTCTCACAGTCTCTTATTTTCTCTCCTCTCTCTCTCTTGCACACACCATCCCTCTATTATTGGAATACTGTCACGGAAACACACACTCTGCTGTAATATAATGCTGTAGTTTGATCCAGACCTCCCATTCATTTGTTTAGCTATAAAGGTCTATGAAGTTGATATGTGTTTACATATTTGTTCACCCCTTCACTCTTTTCCAGTAACTATGGCCGCTGGCTTGACTTGTATATGTATATGTATGTGTGTGTGTGCTCGTGCACACACTCTTCTCATTGCTGAATTACACAACTCTTTCCACCCTGGGGCCTGAGAACTGGTCTGATGTGACCTGATGATTTTATTGCAGCAGCAGTCCTTTTGAGGACTCTCTCTCTCTCTCTCTCCCTCTCTCTCTCTCTCCCACACACACACAAACACACACACACTTACTTTCCCTCACTGTCTCTGTCTCTCACTTCCCCCTCTCATTTTTTTCTCCCTCCACATCTGTTAATCTGCTCAGGGAATAGCAGCAGACAGTTTTCCAAACCTCTGTGCATTTACGTGTCATGCAATTCATCATTGGTAAGTCTTGGAAGAGCACAAGTTCTGAGAAAGTTAGTCTCCAACCCAGAAGTGGACCCTGAACTTGAATGAGATTGTGGCTTGCTCATCCAGTAGCTGGGAGCCCGAAATAGGTTTATTGCAGGTCTGAGGTTGAGGTGGCCAGCTTGACCCCAGAAGAAGAAAACAATGTTCTTATCTCCATCTTCAAACCTCTCTTGAGTGTCATTGTTTCTATAAATAAAAGTCCAGGCTCAGCAGAATCCAGACAGTTTTTTTTCTTTTTCGAAGAGTTTTATGCAGTTAAAGAAGAGAGGCAAGAGATCTTATTGGATCCATTTAGGTGGTGTAGCTTCTGAGTGATTCAACAACCATATTTATTTGTCATGATACTCATTTCCTGCTCGTGCATTCCACTTTATACACCTTTCTAGCACCAAATACTGAACAGCAACACAAACATGCAGTCTCACACTTGATGAGCATGTCCCATCACTGCTTCATAAGCTTCACTGTATGTCTCTCACTGTGAGCTTTTCACCGTCTGTGTGGTGGTTTTCTGAACAATGTGGCTAGCCGCTACGTGAGCCAAAATGACTCCTTGCATGAATAGAAAGATCCAAGCCAAGCTACTGCCTCTGTTAGGAGAGGCCTAGCCATCGCTAACCCCTCAGCCTGCTTCCATTACGCCGACATGGGAAAAGATTCTCTGGAAGAATCAGCTATATTATCTTAATCTTACTGGGAGTCCACCCAGTGGACAACCACCCAGTTTAGGTTGCATTTACTGACTTGAAGAAGTAAACAGGGACACGTAGCTGTTGATGGATGTGGTATTTAACTTGTTAAAGTCTTGCTCAGTTTGTTTCTAGCAGGGACAAATGAACTTGAATGTAAGTAAGTGACTTTTGCTGAAGGTTAAAAGTCAATCATGCATGGGACATGGCTGCTCTTTACCGGTAATGTGTGTTTGTTAGTACAGGGCCGTCTGCAAAGCCATTAAAGCCCCAACCCCTGTTTTAGACCTCGTCATGCCCTCTGGTCTTTGTGTCTCCATCATGGTTCATCTCTGATTCATTGTGACAGGGAACAATAACGGGCACACAGAGAAAGGGAATTCTCTCTGGCTACTTGTCAGTCCATATTAGCTCAACCCAAGTCAGCCCCCCCCCCCCCCCCCAAAAAAAAAAAAAAATCTGCCCCGCTGATTGCTATCTATTGGCAAACTTGACGTAAAAATATATGCTAACAATTTCACCTTTATTTTAGGCTTTATAAGGTGTAAAAGTTGACTGTTAATGCTTAATAAAGCATTTTGTAATACTTTATCGGTCATTTATAAATAACTGTTAAGAAAAAGTTTTGGCTCAGGCAGGATCAGACTGGTTTTTATCCTCATTTATAATTCATAATGCATTTAACAGAAGCCATCAATCTTTCAAAATAGGTTGTTAATCAATAATCTTAGTAAATGATTAACAAGGTGTAATGGTTCTGACTTTCTAATAAAGCAACAAGTCATTTTCAAACATTTATAAGTTAAACAGTAATAAACTCATTGTGGTCCAGATGCTCTGCAGCTCTTTTTCAGAAGGTCAAAGGTCAAACAGAGCTGTCCTCCGGGTGAATCAAAGAACTCAAAAGACAAATCGAGAGTCATACTGGAGGGGGATAAACACCTTGAAGGTAGTGTCCAAGTGTGTAATACATCTTGCTAGTTTATGTGTGATTTTTACTAACAATACTATGAAAAATAAGAAAATAAAGAGATGTCTGCACATTAATATGCTCTGAAAATAAGAGTGATTGCTTCTCGCCTGGGAAAGCTGTTGAGCAACAATCCCTGAGAAAGAGAAGTTGAATTTATTACTCTGGTAGAAAAAAGGCCTCTGCATGCGCCTGCAGGAAACAGGTGGGACTGGTGAGATTCAAGTAAGAAAAATTATGTTCGTATGGAACCAAAACATTATGAGAAAATAGCGTTTTAAATGGCATTTCAATATGGCAGACAAGACCACTGGGTAAATCCATCATTCCGTAATTTGGTGTTAAATGTTTTTACAGATCTATTACATTTGATCATTTTGTGTGTGATTCTTATGGTTTTAAGAAGGGCTCATACAGGTTTTGCATGTTGTGTTTTTAATAACAATCATGATCAACAAGTCAACCAAACAATATTACTGCCAAAAACATCACCTAAATGTCACCTAAAGGTTAGATGACTCTGACTGGGCCAACGTCAAACAGTACAGGGATTCAGAATCGTTCTCCTGACTCGGAGAAAAATGAGGTCTAACTGTACATCCAGCCACTGTCATGTTATGACTTCTTCCCCTCCCTCTTCATTTTTTTGTTCCATTAGGGCTTCACACTGTAAAGGAGCACCAACACAAACAGAGACGGAGCAGAGGGAATGAAAGACTGCAGTGTTTTGGGAACACCAGAGTCCTGACTGCACATGCACATGTGACTCCTTGTCAGCTGGCTGGAGTGAAAGGTGACAGGTGAGTTGATAGGATAGTATGATTTAAAAAAAATAAAATAAAATAAAATAAACAGCTGCACTTTAAATGTCATTACATTTCCTGTTATTGCTTGAGAAAAGTGCTCCGATTGAACTTTCTGGGGATAGTCACCTTTTAATACATTAAGATTTTAGTCAAACATACACTGGACCAAATACAACAAGTCAAACTAATTTGTTTATGCACAAAAAAAGTTGCATATTCTTTCTAAATCACAAGGAAATGTAACAGTACTCGTGGTTTTATATAAAAGTGTTTCCATCAATCAATTTTCATCCCAGTTAGTGAAACAATCACTATATGACAAGTTGCATAACAGAACAAATCTGCTATTAATGTAAAAGAAATCTCATAAAAAAAGCTTGTTGCATAACACTTGTTCTTTTCCAGTATATTCTTTGATGTCCCAAAAATAATTTGAACCTGTTAGGGATGAAAACTTCCAGTGAATGGCAGGCAGTGTGCTCATGGCTAGTTTCCATCACAGTTCTTCCCTTGCATACAGGTTCCCTCTTCTTCTTCTTCTTCTTCTTCTTCTTCTTCTTCTTCTTCTTCTTCTTCTTCTTCTTCTTCTTCTTCCGCCTCTTCTTCTTCTCCTTCTCCTTCCTCCTCTTCTTCTTCTCCTTCTTCTTCCTCTTCTTCCATCCATTCTAATAGATGCACCGAAAAAAAAGGCCATTGCTGCTGGCTGGCCAAAAAAAGAAAAGCTTGGCTCAACTTCTTTGTTCATTCACTTTCCATTGCAAATCCAACAGGCATTCTCTCTCAGCTCTCCTTTTCCCTGACCACAGCTATGGCTTTGGATACAGCAGCAAGTCTGTCCTTTCTCCTTTTGTGATTGAAGATAATGCCCACTGTTTTGAAGGGAAGGGAGCTTAAGGCAAGTTCAAGGAAAAATCCAGATCCTGAAAGGACTCTTCAACCATTCAGGAGAGCACGTCTATATTTGTGACTATGAGCAATACTGTTCCAAGGCTAGAAACAGGAAAACTGCTGTACAGATAATGCAGAGATTTGAACTTTGTGGAATATTTGCTTGAGCTCTGAAGTAGAAAATATAGCACAGAGTAAGTCTCTTTCATTACTTCATCGTTTTATCTTCATGTCACAGATTTGTACAGGAGTCTCTGTAATCTAGCCTTAACAGTGTGTTGTCCATCTTCACAAATCTAGACGAAAATATTTAAAGATTGTACCTTGATTGTAAGACTGAGTTTGGTTTTGGTTGGACCTTTTAAGATAAAGAAGAGAACTACTTGTCATTCAGAACTGACTGAGTGGGTGGAAAAAAACAAAACAAGAAAAAAAAGATGATCTCAAGTTTTAAGAAAATCTGCATCCTTGAAAAAAAAAAAAAAAGTGTGACCTCCAGAGTGGTTTTCAGATCTACGCCACGAGGCCACAGGGTCAGTTTTAAGTATTTGTCACAGCTAAGAGTCCAAAAGTCAACGAGCATGGGTCTGGTCAGTACCTAGTAAAATCGTGCCACACTACCTCGCCTTTCAAAGTCTTCTCAGCTACACTTGCAAGACTTGACAATCATGTTGGAGAGTTGCTCCACTTTGGGGGTTCGTCCAGAGTAGTAGAGTATAGTGAGGGGTTCCAGGTCTTGAGGGACACAGCAGGGGGCGGCCGATGCCTCTGGATTCAGAGTGTTGTACAGGCTCAGCAGCTATTGGAAAGCACACAGGAGAGATGAAAACTCACTTTCAGTTATTATTTACAGCTGTGCAACAACTAGGTAAATAGTTTTTTTATTCAGTAACTACAGAGTGATGGAATCTTGATAATCTACTGGCTAGTTCAGTGTAACGGCTAAACTTTATGAAATATCTGTAAATACTGAGATACATAATTGAAAATTCATATTGAGACTTATTAATAACCAACTAAACAATCAACACTAAATAATCTGGTGAATTCTATTATGTTTTTTTTCCCCCACATTTTCTGGAAGATTACGGTCTAGAATATCCTGTCTGCTAGTCTGCTAGTGGTGTTGTTATAGCTCAGCCATACAGTCCATGTATGAGCTCAAGAATCAAAACATGAAGCTAAAAGAGGCTAAAGGTTCATCTTATTAAGGTCAAGAATAAACTTCACAGTTATCAGCAGTTTTCATACGGACTATTTCTTCGTATTCCCAAGAAAACTGTTCACAGTGAGGTCTGGGAAGGAAAGTAAAAAAAAATGACATGGATTGCTAATATTTTTGAGCTGTTGCTTGTTAATTGGTGGCACGTCGTCCTTCTCCCAGTGTTTCTGTTGTCTCTCTATTTAGGCCTGATTGGATCAACCACTTTTTGGATTGAGTGTAATTATATTTAGGTTCATGCTTGTTTTGGTCCCATGAAGACTTCCAGGTGGAGGCAGAGGGCTCAGATGTGAATATCTCAAAATCTGGACTAATAAAGCTACATGTACCTGCATGGCTATTTACCACTAAAAATAAGCGAAACATATGTTTTTGTTTTGTTTTACACTGTGGTAAAGTATCTCACAAATGCTCTCGCTTTGTATCACTGTGGAGTCCTTACCGAGCTGTGTGTTGTGTCTGAACTCCTCAGGTAAGGACAGGGCCCAGAGCAGTAGTTGGCATCGTAACCACTGGGCTCATGGATCCACTTCCAGTCCAAATCACGCCGGAAATCAATGTGGAGCTTGCGAACACAGCAGCTGTCCTCTGTGTTTCTGTGATGAGGAAACAAAACAATAACGAAATCAGTCTCCATATTAATTTTTGTAATAATGCATCTAGATGCACATTTACATTCTCTGAACATTAAATACCTTCTTGGTCACATGGGCTATACTATATACAGTGTGTTGCAGGATATATTTGGGATATTACAAGAAATAGCTATTTGTCAGTTGCTAAAGACAATTTATGTATCCCCTTACGAGAAACAGTAGTTTGTGTCCAGTGCTCTCTTGCGTCGGCGGGTGTACTGAGTGTCCAAGCGGTGTGGTGGGATCATCATGAGGATAAGGTGAGGCAGGTACTGCTCCTTTTTCTTCTTCAGGTGATCCAGATCCAAGCGACTGTGCTCCTCATCTCCATCCACACCTTAATTATAGACATGATCGAGGCACACATAAACCAACTATTAAGTGGCTTTTTTCCTTTCACAATGTCCCTCAATCTGAGCATACAATTTTCAAAATTATTGAGTATGAAACTGTCATCGCATCGTCTTTTTGTCTGACATTGAAAGCTTATTTTTAGTCCTCTGAGGCAAAAGTTGAATCAGGCAACATTTCTTTCTTATAAAGACAAACAATCATAAGCACTTAAATTAGGTGCTAAATTATATCAAACTTGTACCAAACTCCCCAAATTGTGAAATGACAATTTACAATATATATATACACATATATCTTTAATTATTGAACAATAAATCTTGTAAATTGTAGGACTAAGGACTATATGAACATGCAACACAACCCGCAGCTCTTAAACTGATAGGATAGAAAGATGGAAAGAAAACATTCAGAGACATTAGATTAAATGAGCAACTAACACCTGGCATAAATAACTATATGACAAAATGTTGTTGAAGCCCACCTTTGAACTTCACCTCCAGCACCTCGTTCTCATTGTCAATGATGTCACCATTTGGGTTGAAGGTGTGGCAGGGGCAGTGCACACTGATTTCCAGGCCCAGATTAGTTCCTGATGGCAAACGAGCACGGACAAGAGGATTGTCAAAGTTCTTCTTTTTGTCTAAAACTCAATACTTGTAAGAGAAATACAAGTCATGTTTCTGGGTTCAAACATTGAATGATCATTAGGGCTAATGAGAGTTTTTGTAAAAAAACTAATGACAGTGACCTCAGTCTCACCTCTGTTCATCAGCCATTCCCGCACTGTCTCAGTCACATCGAAGGAGACCCATTCAGGGGTACCTTTGGTCAGCACATTCTTGGCTCCGATGTAGCGTTGTTTCCTAATGTGTTCATTTGGCCTCACAATCTGCAAGGCAAGAAGACATGGTCACTCAAAAGGTTTTTGCTCAATACTTGTTTCAACAAAATAACATGTAGAATAGAGCAAACACCAGACAAGGCTGTTGGTACAAGACAAAGCCAATAGTTGTCTTGAGCAAGGCTAAGCTAAGCTATGCTATGAGCTAAGATAATGTGATTACTGGAACAGATTATATCGCTAAAAAAATATATATAAAAAAAGACTAAGAGCATCCAAATGGCTTTGTTAGGTTGTACTTATGGTGCTTTCGTGTCATATTGGAGTCACCGTAATTACCAGTTTCCCACTTGTAAATAGCATTCACGTCAACATCCAAGTCGTAATTACGACTGATATATCCTGTGTGATATATCCCATTTGGTGGTAAAAAGTGCAGACGTGCCTTCAAAAGCAAGCAAACATGGATGTCTAAAATCTGCCGAAGTCTGTTGTTAGAGGTAATTAAAGGCTGAGATGTAGTAGGTACAGTGCTATATTGAAGCACTGTATTTGTAACTCTCATATGTCAAACAATGCAGTAAAACAACAAATGTCCCTGTGCAATATTTCCACTTTGTTCAAATTACCTTCCTGTTTAGTAGCCGTTAATGGTGTTTTAGTCAACAATTTTCTTCTAGCTTGTTATGTTAAACATGTTCATCAATGTAGTTGAGCATGTTAGCATGGGCTGATGGTTCTGCAGGTATGTGGTCATAAGCCAAAGTACTGGACAAATTGAAATTAGGACCCATCCCTGAAGCTGTGCTGGTAGCATGGCTAAAAATGTGACCTAACCTCGACCTAACATGGAAAAAAAAATGGGAGAATTTTTATTGTTCCTTTTTTAAATTCTTGATATCATCATGTAGTGCTTAGTGCATTAATAACTGTCAGTTTGAGTATATTTTAAATTCTGAATAGTTTTAAGGGACCACACATCCATGGAACACCCTCACAGGTGATTTGACTTTTTTTGGTTTACTATACCTCCCCCTTGACAGAGCTTGATTGACATCCCCCTCATTCACTTATTTGCTTTGTTGCACCGGTTGGGGTGGGACGAGTTACACATTTGTTATTTTGATTGGTTCATGGAGTCCAGTGACATCACATACTCCACCCACCTTAAGCGTGAACAGACGTCTAATTAGCCAAATAATTCAAAACACCTGGAGTGTATGTAGGGCCTTTATCTGCATATATTTTTCCTGTTTCTATTTTTTGGCCTGTGGGGGGCAGAAGAACTTGACAGACATCCTGACACACATGTTAACCTGTTGGGAGACAAGAGCAACATTCAACTGGAGTCACGTCTGTTAAATGTGAGTCCAATATTCACTCTTCTTTTATCTCTGTTTTTCTCTCCCAAGGTAAATATCCGGCTCTTTAGCTTGCTAGCTGTCCTACTTTTTTTCACCAGCTAGCTAGTTGCTAGCCTAGTCATGCTGTGTCATGGCTAGGAAGGGAATAGTTTATCAAAGCTTGCTTGCTGAAAACAACAGCTGTTTGTGAAAACAAGCTTGTTGCGAGCAGTGATATTCAGCCATTTAGTAAATTTGTGTGCTGTTAGACCAAAACAATTAAGCTACAGGCTAAAAGAAATTGTGCAAAGCTGCAGAATTGGATGCTAATTGTCTGTGACTTTCTCACAGCAAGCTGCAGCTTTCACATTACCCACAGTCAATTTTATTCTTTCTAAATATAAACACATTTGTCCAGTTCATAGCTTTTGCTTAAAAAGAAACTTGGTGGTTGCTGTGTGTGTTCAGTGGGAGCACCTATAAAAGTAAATTACAAGTCTAGCTCCTGACCTGTCTCTCGAGTAAAACAGTAAAACAATGCACATCATTTCGTCCCATATATTTGGATGAAAATGTGAACAAATATGAAAGTAAAAGAAGAATGTGATTTATTTCTCAGGAAATCTGTTTTGAGTATGACCGGGGTGAAAAGTAACTAAGTATATTAAACCAAGTGCCATACTTGAGGACATTTTGCTGCCAATATTTATGTACTAAGATTTTAAACACAGGACTTTTACTTACTCATTGTGTTATTGCTACTTTTAAAAGATCTAACATGAGTATGGCCCCCCCCTCTCCTGTACTCCCCCCTGTTTTTGAAACTGACAGTAAAAATAATTTCCTTCGGTAGAATGAAAACACCTGCCCCCTGCTGCTCCCCTGCATTACACTGACCACCAGATTAAGCTCTTCTGTAAACACACACTTGCTAGATACCCACCACGTAAGAACTTTGGTTAAATTGTGTGTGTTAGATTAGATTACAGTTACTTGACCGATTTTTGTTGAAGTTCTCTTGCATCACATGCAGATTCTGTTAACAGACAGAAACTGATACATTCAGTCACAACAAACAACATAAAGTGCAATACCCAAAGTTGCAGTACATTTTATTGGCAAAAAGTGATATACTTATTTAAATTGGAGTTGCAGTTGCCTGTAGTGTTATTTATGTGTTTGCTAAAATTGTCTTTTTAGATTTCTCATAACATCATGCCTGACCAGAGCATCTGTATATAGTGGTATTTTTTTATCACTTTTATTTTAATAGTTACCTTTAGATTAGATCTATAATGCCAAGGATATTTAGACAGAATAAAAGGGACTTTATGATGTTGACTACAACTTAGGAAAGTGGTCGTATCATGTCATCACTTAACAGAGCAGAGCCGCCTTTTAATAGCTTGATTTAAAAAAGACCTCTACATAACCAAAATGGAGACCATATTAGATCTGACCTGCCAGTACTGCACTAACAGTAACCCTGTCTTACTTCTGCAAACACTCCGCAGGCCTGTTGAGCTTTTTGGCTTTTGGTCTGGCTGTTACCCACGCCCGCAACCACAATCTGGTTGTCGTTGGCTCTCTTTGTCAATTAGAGCCTGAAATCATGTGGTGGAGAACAAGTAACCAGCTTATGTAAGATGCATTCTTGACAGACTAGAATCTAGTAATGTTTTAGCATACAAAGATTAAATCCAGAAAAGAGAGATTTTGAAGCTCCTTGTTGCTTTGACTTTGAGCTTTGCCTTTGATCTTGGTAGAAGGACAAGGAAACAGTATCTTTACACACCTGGTAGAGCTCAATCCGCTGTTCATTCCTCTTGGCACTTGAGTTTGGCACCCTCAGAGCTCGAAACTCTGCTCTGAAGAGGTTGGTTGAGTTCCTTTCCATGGCGGAGACGTTGAAGCGGAAAACCTTAGAGGTGATGCCTTTTGGGCAGTAGAGCAGATCGTCTGGAACAGGGAGAATAAAATAAAAGTTAAGTGAGAGAACAGGCTTAGAAAGTCTTATCAGGATCTGATAAAACCAGCAGTGTAAGTCCAGACAACTGCATCATCACTTCTGGACAACATAATCACAGATAATCTCTTTGTAATCTCCTTCATATGTATGCAAGAGATGAAATGAAGAGTTTCTCAGGTGTAGGCCTTTTTCACAGCAGACATTTTGTCTTAGCATAGGAGGAAAAGCACAGGTGTTATCAATAACATTAACATTATTGCATTAAATTCTGTTCAAGTCTAAGCCATGACAGGGTCACATGAGCCAGCTTGAACAATACCAGGATTCTGAAACTGAAGCAGCTAAATGGAATTCAGATGTCATTCATTTTATTATTGAAACCTGTGCTCTTCCCACTGTGACATGTCAAAATATCTACTGAGAAAAATGGCTTTTAAAAGTCATTTTCTGGGCCATATTTAGTATGTATGTGACATTTCTTCATCTGACATTGTGCAGCAAAAGACAATCAATGTATAATGATCTTTTAACTATTATTACTACTCCAGTAAAAAAAAGATTTTGTTCTTTAAAGATTTTTTCATCACTGTTTTGAGAACCTTTTTTTGAGAACCTTGCAAAAATAATAACTTATAACTAAGAACAAAGGGTTGCCACCGTAAAACAAAAACTACTGATTTGTGAAATTAAGTTTCTAAACACTCTGAAGTTGATATTAGAAGCTGTGAATTAACATTTAAAAAGTTAATAATGGGGCTGCAAATAATAATTTTAATTCTCAGTTAATCTCCCATCAATTTCTCTACTATTCAACTTATAATTTTTGTCTATTAAATGAATGAAGAAAATAGTGAAAAAAAATCTACCTAAATTTCCTAAAGCCCAAGATGATTTCATCAAATTGCTTGTTTGTCTGGCCAACACCTCACAACCACCAAATAAGACAAAGTGAAGCAGCAAATCCTCATGAATAAGAAGCTGAAACTTGTAAACTTGAAGAATTTTGCTTCAAAAATTACTAAAACAATTAATCAATTATCAAAATAGTTGCTGATTATTTTTCTCTCGACTGGCTCATTTCAACTCACAACAAACTTTTGTAAAGTACTTTTCTGTGGCTTAGTGAGGGAGGAGTGGACTGTGCCTTTCCGATCAAGCTTTTATCCACTTGATGCCAGAGTAATGTCAGTCATGCTTCAAAGAGATACAGTACTTTGTGAACTGATATCATAAACTGAGTTGGCAGCAGATGAAATCTTTTTAAACTCTTGATTATAATGCAGTTTGCATTTTTTTTTCCCTTTTTTGTCATACCATATTACTTCAGATGTGTTGAGATACAGCTCTACAGGAGAATGAAAATAGGGGCATGAATTTAAATGTTTATTATATACTGGAAAACTTATAAACCCATTCACACCTAAAATATGAATTTGGGTTTACTGACCCTTTAGTGGTTGGCACTAAGTTTATCAGCCACAGTGAAATGATTAGTGTTGTTGCCTGCCTTATCAAAATTCCTCAGTGTTTTTCCAACACTTTTTGTCTATATTTGGTGGAAATGAAAATGTTGTAATTGAAATAGCAATATTATTGAGCTTAGTATGACTTCATCTCCCTGGTATCTGCGTATCAAAAACCCTTCTATCCTCAGTTCCACTGACAACTTTTTGGACCCAAATGCCTTCTGACCATGATGACTTCTCCACAACCCAACCTCAGTCATTGACATATGCCAGATTCTGTATGCGTACCATGCTATAAAAGGAAATCTTTCCGATGTTTGCTGTCCAGCCTCTCAATGCAGTAATTTGCCAGTCTTGCAGCAGCTTTCTGCTTCATTTGCACCTGTCACAGATTTGTGGTGGTTCACAGTGCTGCCTCAGATCCACCAAAGGTCAACAGTTTACCTTCAGAAACCATCAAAAGGAGAGTTTATGTTTGCCCACATTAACTGAGGGAAAGAGAGTGAAATCACTGGTTCCAAGTCAAAAATTGATTCCACATAGCCAGTGCTCTAGTCCTGTTATACCACAAGGGGCAACACTCAAAGGTGGCCGTGTCTTCATAACTACTGGCTTCACTCTCAGTCTGCTGTTTCTACCTGATCTTAAGGGAATTGTTCAATATTTTCAATCTTATTTGACATTGATATCACTCATGTACAGTAAATATGAAGCTACAGTCAGCAGCCGGTTACTTAGCCTAGCATGAAGACTAGAAACGGTGCTCTGTGGGAAGGGAACAAATCTGCCTACTAGAACATGGTAGGGACAAATGCCTATAAGTGTTTTTTTAAACACTCAAGCTAATCTACTTAACCACATCTTTAATGAAAGAAAATTGTTCCCAAAGTGAATCATTATCTCTAATGTCAAGTAGAGATATACCATTACGAAAACATCGGTTTGGATGCTGAATAAGTATACCGCTAATGAGAGTGCATCTTGAAGAATGAGAGCATCAGTAGTTTCAGCCAGAGCCCCACAACAACATGTTTCTGTTCGAGTGACAAAGCCCTCTAGTGGCTGTAGTAATCATGTTAGGAGCAAAGTAGGAAATCCGGCAGTTATGACGACACAGTCTGCATAGGGAGAGGGCCGGGGTGGATGGATGGATGTCAGTGACAAAAAGCATGACTATGACCATTCCCTAACCTTAACCAAGTGTTTGTTACTGTAACCACAACAACGAAGCTTCCCTAACCTTACTGAAGTAGCCTAGTTATTTTAACCCAAATCACAATGTTTCCCTGAATCTCACCAAGCCTTAACCACAGCATTGTCAGATGATAAAAGGGATTTATTTTTGATTTGTAACGTCGTCCTGGCGATATGGGGCGTCAGATCAGAAAACTATTGTATGTGTCGTTGTAGAGGGGATGGATAAACAATGTAATTTGTGGTTTAATTTGGAGGACTTGTTTGAGACAAATTTGACGCATCATCTGAAAAATCTTATAAAGAGGCTTTGGATCAGTCACCATCTGTACATTTCAGACACCACCACTGTAAATTGATTTTGATGAGACATCAGGTAATTATATAAGAAGTCCAGCATTTGTTAGGGATGACGTGTTTGTCATTTGCTTTGTTTCTATAGCTGTTGATAAGAGGACTGAAAGTAGCTCTAGACAAACTATGCATTTAAAAATACACCTGTTCAAAGTAGGACTACAACAGAAGTGAGCTTCACGGCCACACTGATTTAAGTAGAGTGTCTTAACCTTGATCAGAAAGGTTACGGAACTTTTAAAACCTGATTTACTTCCTAAATTAATTTGCAAACATAATAAAGATACAGAATATCTAGAAAGTTAAATAATTTCTGCCAAACAGACCTATTCATAATATATTGTGATGATATGAGGGAGATTACGTCTCTTTATTATCATTTAACTGAAGAAATCATCGTCCCTGCCAGAGCACAATGAATCTTAAAATTGTTCATCTTGCCTGCTCCAGCATATGAAAATCACATTAACCAGTCTGAGCAGGCTCAGTGTGTATATATGTGGATATACTAAGCTATTGACAGAATGCATATTTTCAGGTATGAGATCACACTGGACACATAAAAACCTCTGCCAATACCACAGCTTTAGGCTTGACAAAGTAAAAAAATTAAGGGTGATATTATTTTGTCCACATTTTAAGTGTCTAAGTGTAGAAATGTTGACTAGGACACACTTTTTGGGTACTTATGTGTCAGTTCAGCTCTTATAGTGTTATATTGTTTTTCTGCCATTTCCCATTTGTTCTTTAATCACATAAGGTTACAACAACAGAAACAGTGGTCTTCACCCAACTGTTAGAAAAAAGTACGTGTGACAATCTGTCTTACATCTTTGTACCTAAAGCCCCTCTGTGACTGAATCCAAAAATGAAACCACCACATGAACTTGAGGCACCTAGTGCCTGGCGTTTTTGTCATAACCATTTTGTGAGATTTAAAACAGAACATTGCTGAAGGAAAATAGGTCTTTTGAGAAACACCTGTTGATTTCAAAGGGACTGTGATGCAATGGTCTTGGCTTTCCTCTAGACCATGAGGCCCTCTCCGGCTCTCACACACGCACAGCATTTATCCTATTCTACTTTCTCAGTAATCCAGACTCAGTTGGACCACATGCTGTATGAATCTCCCTCAAGTACTGACACATGTCCCTCTCAACGTAGGTTTTCCACTTCCAGTTCATAGCTTTTAATTCTATAAAGGAAATAGTTGTGCCAAAGAGAGGTTTAGCACAAAGCAAAGAATGTGAACAGGACGTTACTGACAAATATTCACCAAAAAAAAAAAAAAAAAACGTTACCTAAGGTTACCATGTGCAATGAAATGATGGCACAGTGGAATCATTCATGTTTAAGGGGATGGATTCTGGCTCAGTTTCACACTCAATTTAGCAAAGTTAAACCTGAGCACTACAGTTAGTGATCTCATGCTTATGGGCCACCCCTGTGGGTGATTCACAGGCCAAGACAAGCAGTGGGGTCACTTAAAGCTCTCTTTCAGTGTGGAGGTGGGTGGTAATGATGTGTCTGTGTATGTGATAGCTTCATGGGACCCCACTCCTCCTGTAGAGTCACACTCTAGGGGAGTGAGGGATCCCATTATCCAGGCTAACGGGGAGGTCCTTCCATCATCTAACTTTTCCTGTCCACCTCTGTTAACTTTTCCTACTCCTTCTCCTAAAGGCATCCCCCTCTGCCTGGGCAGATGTCCCTCTCATTTGGGCCTGACTGGAAAGGAAATGGGAACATCTGGGGAGAGGGACAGGATCCATGGAGGAAAAAAACAAGAGGAGGAAGAGTGGAGTCAGGAGTAGGAGGAGAGTGACTTTCCTGGAACACTAGTTCAGGGTTAAAACAGGTTGGTGAGCATTACAGGAACAAAGCACATCCTCCAAGTGCAAAACAAGTCCACCTTTCATATTTAAAAAACTCAGAAAGCTCTGACACAAACACCTCTTCTTAATGGGGAGGATGTTTGATGTATGTGCAGAGTTTGACACAAGAAGGCGGACTTCACATTCATCTATTCATGTGCTGAAGGAGGAAAGTTTGTCTGTGCTCACCTCATGGTGAAGAAGGAGACATCTTGTATCCAGCAGTTAAACTTAAGAAGTAAACATGTTTGTATAGTCATAGATTCTCTGTTTCTCAACTAGGGAGAAAGGCTAGCTGTAATTTTAGGAATTTTTTAGCAAGGTTTTGTGGATTTTTTTTGTGGAAGCCCATATCAGACAGAAGTTATCATTCCTTATAACCTTAAACCTGCCTAATATGCAGCAGAAGAAAAAATCGAAAGTGATAAAAGCTGCATGGCATAGAAACCTAACTGCAGTTTGAGTGAGGCGTCTGGCTGGCTCTTCAATTGGTGCGTAATTACGCACAGTGGACGCCTTGATTGCTTATATTAAAATCACAAAGTGATAGAAACTTAGCTGCCTAAAGAGCTGCAATACTTACTGCTCTCTGGCGGTCCGTAGACCATGTTGAATTTGTATATCTCTTTGGCATAGTACTCTGTCTCTGTGTTGTCCTGACCGCAACTTTGCTGCCGATCCCTCCCAAGCTCCTCCAGTAGCTCCTTGGTGCTGTTATACAATGCTTGGATTTGATAAGGGATTTTATTCGGTCCGAGGGAGTGCGGAGGACTCGTCAGTCGGAGTTTGCTCAGAATCTGACCCCGTATCGCCTCGACCCTCTTCCTTTTCACATGGTCAATATCCACGGTGGCACAAGTTGACAGGCATGAGCTCAAAGTTGCGCAGTTGAGGAGGAGGACAAACAGTAAAGCCTTACCCAAATGCATCTTTCTGTCTGCATTTGGTTCGCTCGGTAGAAATGTGCAGATTCACAGGCGACGACTGCCAAGGTCAGTGTCAGTTAGCCTTCAGATCAAGCTGATGAGCCCTGCTGTTGTTTCTTTGAACTTCCTCTGGAGTTAATGATGAAAAACTCCTCACTTAATACGTTTTCTCGTGGCAGTCCCTTTTGTTATCAGCAGAAATCCAACTGTGTGTTCGCCCATGAGACATTACCCAATTCAAAGTCCCGAGCAACAGAAACTCTCCCACATATATGAAATTTATCCGGCACAAATATCTCTGTAGAAACAAACAGACTTTTCTTTTGCATTCTTGAGCTCAATCCAGTAGATTTAAGGCGTCCCACAGCTGGGCATATTTCTCCTCTTTTCTTTCTCATTAAAATCTAGAGCCTCTTTATTGTCTCTGAGGAGACAGACCGCAGGCTGTCAGGTTAACGAGGTATATGCGACTTTGAGCGGTCGGTATGGCCTCGCATGTGTTTTATACCAGTAGTTTCTGACGTTTGATGGAGGAGGGACCGCAAGCACCCGGGAGAGCCCAAATCATAACAGGGCTCATTGCGATGCACCAGACATCAGCTGTGACTAATAAACATGTAAAAGAGTCTACTCTTTTATTTTCTGACTCTTCAGTCATATGTACTTTTAAAGGAAGTTGGAAAGTTACAGTTTTTCTTTATTAAGGCAACCGAGGTGGTATTAAGATCTAATCGTCTAATCTTCTTTGCTGTTTCTCCCCATGTTTTTAACAGTAGACTACTGTCAACTGTGATCTCACAGAGGTCTCAGTTGATGTTTCCTCTGGTTGTCTCCCGTATTTTAGGTTTAATGGCCTGGGTCGTCCACCCTCTAGTGGCAAGTCGCGGTACTCGCAGTCGCCTAATTAAACTGACAGTATCTGCGTTTTCCTAAATTACTTTCTCAGTGTCTTAAAACATTTTCTTTTGAATAACATTAAGTTGTTAAGATTTTTTTTTGTTCCCTCTGAAATATATAAACTCCACTTTTCCTTCCGATTCACTGGCTGATTCAAGGATGGCCTAAAGTTAATGTACTGTAAACCAACACAACAAATCTAAACCCTAATACTTGAAATACTGAGCCAACCTATCTGAACTCTAATGTTGCTCAGTTAAGTAAATCTTAAATTTCTTAAAATCGTAAAATTGTGTCCTAGATTCATCTTGTAGCAAAGCGAATTTTAAACCAAGGATTTCTCTGAAAATATGCTATATTTCTGCCGTAGCAACCATAAAAATAACAATGAAAGGGGTTTGTAGATTTTACACATAGAAATTCCACTCACAGAATTTGTAATAATTCACAGTTGGGTCCTTTGTCTGCTCTTCTTCAGCTGGAGCCTTCGTATAAAGACCCACACAATACAGGACGAATCCTGTTGTCAGAGGCTGCTCTCATATTACAGAAATCTTTTCAGACTTCACATTCTGGCTACATGATTGCATTACTGTTCAAAAGAACCAAAGTTTCCTCACTGTCGAAGCAGATTTTCCCATGCCCTCTGCAAACCACCATCCACATAAAAATCATTTTTCTACACTGATGTCTGAAGGTTTATTTGCAGACCCCTTAAGTTATTTCATCTTTTTAGATTTTTTTCCCCTCCACAGTCTGTTTTATCTCTATTCATAGAGCATATCCACATTTCTCAGACCTATTTTAGGTCAAAGCTCACTCAACCACTGGAGGCCCCATACCCAAACATGGGGTCTGGTATTTCACTATGTTTCTTTTGCTCACCAGTTTGCATGGCAAGAATGATTTAGTAGAATGTCCAAACTTGGTAAATATTTGGCTTTGGATCATAAACCCAGGTGCCTGTGTGCACTATATGCACCATCTTGATTTGTTTTGCTAATTTGTTAGAGATGAGTAGGGTGAGGTTTGTATATTTGTATATTTTGTTAGAACAATGTTACTTAATGTTGCATACATGCTCATGCACCATCTGATACTCCCACTTGGTTTCTGTCTGTTATCTCATCTTTTATTGTCTGATGATGTTGTTTGGAAAAGTGTAATGTGATTTATTTTAACAACATCATCATGTCTGTGAACAGTACAGAACAGAAAAAACTCTATTTTGTTTCCAGTATTTTAGAAATGTCAAATTTCTTTTCACTGTTTTATTTACAGTTGCATAAAAATGAGCTTGAATGAGCAATTTGTTGCTCCACATGCTGTGAAGATCAGTTGCAATAAAGCTCCATTGTGCTGGTTAAACAGGCAGCCAGTAAATGCTCTGTTTTGTGTGTAGATGATTAAGCTCCATAGTATCTGTTTTCTTTGATACTTTGGTCATAGGAACATTTTTGCTTTAATGTTTATTGTTTGGAAATTGGTTTCCACTAGCGTCTCCCCAGGCTCGGGCTGAAATGTCTTCATTCATGAGTTTGGCTCAGTGATGTAGTGATCCAAACCCAAAATGGACCAAAATGGTTGTTTGGGTTTTTAGTGATCCAAGAATGAGATGTCTTCATAGCCATTGTGAAACTATTTTGGGACAAGCATCCAGGTCCCTGGTATCCCTCAGCCACTTTCCCACAGTCCTCTGTGTATACTGTGTTGCACCAAATTAAAGCTTATCTCAAAAGTTTGAAAATAATCATAGGGAAGAGTCTGGGGAAATTATGACCCAACAAAGTCATTTCTGATTTTTCCCCTCTTACCAAGAGTTTAAGACTTTTGTCTTTGTTCTTGAGGATGATGATCTTTCAGTAGATCATTTTCAAGTCTCTGTGGCATACCTCAGTGAATATACCATTACTTAATGTGGCTTTCCTTTCTATAGATAAATTCCAAGAGTTAACATTGCACTGTAAACCGACTTTTGGTAAAACTTTTGGTCGATTTGATGGAATAAATGAGGCTCCTTGTTCTGCATTTGCAATGCTGCTGTTTCTGTCCCATCCTTTGGCCATTTCAGTAATGTTGGCAGTTCTCCACTAAGCCAGCAGGTGATGCTGCATAGCTATGTCTGCTGTCTGTGTCTGCACACGGACACAAGAGCAGAGAAACTCAACATTTCAAGAGGATCATATTGTCTAAAAATGTCTATTTCATGCTCAAAAAATGTCCTTCCTTCAAGAGTCCAGAAATTCTACTACAATAAGTGAACAAAATCTGTCAGTACATCATCACAAACTTTTCTGTGAAATGTCACATTTAGTTGGACAATTACTTCAGCAAAATAAATGAATGAAGGAGACATTTTCAAATAGACAGATTCACGTGTGAATCTACATCAGCTGATTTTATATAGAAATATGTCTGAACTCATTGTCATAGTTATCATCATCATCATACTTCATTTGTCCTCTCTGGTCTTATCAGAAATGTAAAAAGAACAGGCAGAATTATCAATGATCAAGTACCAACTGTACTTCCTGGTTGAGCGTGTGTTTCAGTTCGTCTTATTAAGGCTGTGTGGAGAGATTCTGTAATGGGTTTTGGGTCTTCAGCCGGAGGCCATACACACACACACCATCACATGGACCCTGTCTGGTGCACAACAATTATGTCATCCCTCTCACTCCGTAACACACACACACACACACACACACACACACACACACACACACACACACACTTTGTAGTAGTCCAAACTGTCTGGGGATTCCTAGACATGATCCCAGACATCACCATCAAAGTTCACTTTTACTCCAGGCGTCCTCCAGTGATTACCTCACTGCTGGGTCAGGTTTTAGTGAGTCACTCTCCGGCAATCTGTCCGTCTCGCGCGACACACGGAAAAGGAATGCAGCTACAGTCCGGAGGATGAAAACAAAAACACATGCTGGTAGCCATATGGAGGAATATGTCCTCTTTTTCCTGTAATGTAGGTTAGATTCCTGCTGACTGTACTTGTTAGAGTAGTTACTGCGATCATAGTGCTTAACCTCTTCCAGCAGCGTGGAGATTGGAGAGCGCTGTGTTTATAAAACATAAAACTTTGGCTTTTCTAAATCTTAAAAGGTTCCATAGAGTAGACAGACTTTACCATCTGACCACATGCACACACACATACAGAGTCAGACTGCTTAAGACTGGCTAGACAGAGTCAGACAAACCCCAAATACTAAGCAGCATCCTGCCAGATTTCCCTACTACAGCACACTGACAAGCCAGAACAGTAAAGTCTGCTTTGTCTGAGGGTAACAAGCCATATGAGTCATACTTGGGGAGTCAGTTGGGTAGGAATGCTAACAGGAGACCCCTAAAACCCACACCAGCGGAGACGATGATGTGTATATGTCATGGCCATACAACTCAAATGACTCATTTGATTCGTCCACCATCTGTGTTAGTCATCGGTTTTCTTAATACATGTACATAGGAAAGGAACACCACGGCGGCTAGACGATGACTTAAGGTGAGATCACGTGGCATCAGCAAAAGCTTGTCCGTCACTTTGTCATTGTCGTGTCTGAGATGTACTGTATGTCTTTATCTTTTTCCTGTCTTCCTCTTGATACTGTAAATACAATGCTGAAGTGATTACATGGCAGAGTTGAAGGCTAACCTTGGTGTTGTGGTTGAATTTGAGGCAGTGGCCAACTTTGCTTGTTGGCAGCTCCAAATGGCTTCAATTGATTAACGCTGGAAAAATGTGAGTGTTGGTGCGCTCACAGGTGCGCCCAGGTTGTGTGTCTGTGACTGGTTTAGACTTGGTTTATTCTGGCTGCGATTCTGTTCTGCCACATCTCTGACGATTTTGCTTTCCCACACAATTCCACCTCTCTGTTCCCTATCCTGGGCCCTTGTTGCAGCAGCACTCTGGTGCAAGCCTAGATGGCAGTGAAGTGAACTGTTCCCTCCTACCTCCAAGTCATGGTCAAACGCTGCACTCCAGCGTGACCACTGAGCACAACACACACTCAGGGGTTTTGCTGCTACAGCCTTACTTGGTCTCATATGACAAGTAGCTTATGGTTGTTAAATGTTAGTTAATGGTAGAAAACTTTATTTAGATATTGCCCTATAACGAACATTACTGGGCTATTTTATTGACTTAATGACTCTCCTGAACTTTTGCCACTCTTGCAGTATGTTTTAAATTTTACCATGATCCCATACTTCTTTCTTGTGGCAACAACAAAAGTCACTTAGTCTCACTTGTACTGCACCCTTGAAGCACTTGGAGATTCAATACGTTTCTTGTAAATCACTTTTGACTGAAGAATCTGCTAAATGAACCTGATGAAATTGCATTTACTTAATGTTAAATCTTGTGTAGTTTTGTTTTAATGGTTACCATGAATGACAAATCCATTTCAAATTTGTTTTTGATCACCAGGGGACAGAAGATCTTCAAACCAACTGAGACAAACAGCCCTGACATGATGTGCTGGCAAACAGGTACTCTGCAGGAGACATGGAGCGATATCAGCGTCCCATTGGAGCCATGTTTCTGCT